ATCGTTGTTTAAAGTACAAAACCGCGTATCGTCATTCTGCAAGAACGCATATGCATATGTATATAATGAAGTAAAGTATCAGGTATGTATACAAATTCATAGTTCTGTTTTGTATAATGTATGTACATAAGTAACAAAAAATAAAAATAACATAACACAAATACATGCATAAACATAAACGTCCCACTGGGGAAATAGGTAAGCTCATCGGTAAGGTACATATAGATTTTCGAATTCAGTCTTGTACTCACATATTTGTACTTGTTTTTTGATACATAATACATATGTATGTTTGTATATCAGTGGCGGATCAGTGTATCACGCAAATTATTGTTAATATTGTCAAAAATTAAAGTTTGCTATTTACTCACAAAATAGAGTATACGGCGATTTTTATTATTCACTTGGTTTTTTATGTTAAAATTTTTTTGTTAATTATTTATTAAAATACAACCTATATATTAAAAAACACCACATAAATCGAAGTTTGAAACTTTATACGAAATTTAAAATAATTCTGCAGTTTCGTCGAAATCAAGAACTTTTTCATAAGAGTATGTATACAGTTTTATTGTCCATTGCATTTTAGTATAATAATGTGCAAATTGAAATGTCTTAAAATTGATATTTCTATTTTTTTTTTTTGCTGACGGTGCTAGGCATATTCTTCCAATATAAAGTATTCTCAGAAAATACACTACAGAAAATATTCTAAATTTCGTATAAAGTTTCAAACTTCGATTTACATATGTGGTATTTCTTAATAGATATATAGGTTATTTTTTAATAAATAATTAACAAAAAATTTTTTACATCAAAAACCATGTGAACAACAGAAAATCTCAGTATACTCAATTTTGTGAGTAATTGTATACATATACATACATATGTAAATATTGTTAGTAATAAAAATAATAATAACATTTCTTGTTGATAAAAAAACTAAATACAAGTTTTAGTGTATAATAAATAGTTCCACTTTATATTTAAAATTTTGAAAGGTCGAGATTAGCATTCAGCTTCTTTATCACTTCGGTCAGCTCAATTACTGAACTGTTCAGCTGTTGAAGCGTAGCAACTAGCATCTCTTTCATCCTTAACTTTAAGGCTATGAAGTGCAGCATTTAAACTTGCTACAGCTTGCGTTGTTTTTACTCGTGCATTGAGGTCTTTTATACCTGTTGAGGCAGTAAGGGTGTCATTTAAGCCAGGTGTTTCGGAAACGGGAGTCTGTTGTGTTTGAAGCAGTGTAGAGTCTTGAGCTCCTGCGGCCATCGGGGACAAAACTAAATCATTGGGGATGACCACCTCGGTTTCAATTATATCAATTTCTACTGGTTGGGAGTTGCACGTTGGTTCCTAATGATATAAATTATAATTTGACGTACATAAGTGAAATTTCTTAAATACTTTATAAAGCTGCATTTCACGGAAACTTACCTCATGCCCCAACGTGTCCATGTTTGAGCGACCATATACTGCTGCCACCCCAAATGTTTCCAGCGCTTGTTGCTCGAATTCGGACACATCTGCTGTCGGTGGTCCCCCGCCTGTTGCCTTTGTATGCTCTACGACCCTTCGTGCTCTGCTCCGCAGTTGGTTTTTCCATCCGGTTAATGTCTGTAAATCAGGTATATATGTAAATACACACATGTGTGCAATCATAATTAAAAGAAATTTATGTATCTATGTACATACATAAAATACAAATTATATATGTAACAACATATTTATGTGAGCAGGTTTGCTCTGTTCCGTCGTAAATATACCAATTAAAAAAAAAAAAAACTTACTTCTTTCCACTTCGCTGCCGTGCGGGTGGGCCCACGCATTGCATTCAAGTTCTCCGCTAGCTGCATCCACAGGGATTCTATCAATTTCGGAGAACTCGGCTTGTTTTTTCCCCGTTTGTAGCTCCGGATGGTTCTTGCAAAATTGCACATA